TCAGCAGAAAGGCTGCAGATACCATGGGTTGCTTAGGAACCCAATACTAGTTTTAACTTCCAGTTCCTTTCCCCCTCCTTTTGGGGATGGTTTACTTGATTTTCTAGTAGCCTAAAGTGGAATTACTATGGACCGCTGGGTACTATAGACCATTCAGCTTGGATTGGCAATCAAATTCCTCTCTATGCCACATCCCAACGTTCCCCTCCATTCTTTCCAGGAATCTCTCTCATGAAGAACTGCTCAGAGCAGAGTGGGAGTAGGGCTGTAGAAGTAGCATCTCAGAAATACAGAGGGAAAGGTTGCTATTCATGGTACTTCTTTATATGGAAGAGGAAAGAAGCTCTTTGTGCCATCATTAACCTCTGGAAACTGAACAGCTTCTTCTGAGAGTTCAGGTTCCACATACTGACAATAATTTCTGTCACTGCTTCACAGTTTCAGTGCAATGAGACCTTCTGACATGAGACCTTTTGGCACCCCTGGATGTCTATTAGAGGTAGGTAAACTCCACCCTGAATATGGCTACACTCTGTTTGGGGTCTTGATCCCCCATGTCCATTTGTCACTACTGTTCGTTCCACTTTCCTCTAAAGACTGATCTGAGAAACTCAGTTCACAAAGTGCCTGCTTTCACAGAGCCATCAGACTAGCTCAGAGCAGATACATCTGTTCTCATGTGGTGGTGCTGACCATTAATAGCACAATCCTTTTAGCTTTTTTACTGCAACAACAGTATTTATCAAGCAGCTGGCAGTGGTTAATGCTCATCTCAGGCATCAATGTAGTCCTGTATCTGGATGAGTGACTAGTCTAGGCCCATTCACACCAAGGATTAGAAGAGTCACTCACTCAGTGCAGAGTCCCTAGGTCTCCAGGTAAAGCGAGAGATGATCACTCTTGCACCATTAATTGTGTGGCAATCCCCTATTCAGCTTTGAAAATCTCAACCAAGATTCTTATTTTTCACCCTTATAAAATTGGGCCAAACAAGACAGAAGAACAATAATTCAATACCATTACAGCAGGCTGATGAATACAGAAAGTCTGTTCAATCTCTTTCGATATCACATTATTCACATTTATAAAACAAATATCTATCTTTAATCATAGTCTGAAGATACTTTACTTTTAAAATAATGCCAATAGAACTCAGAAGTGCTGCCTAAAATAAAAATATTTGGTAACTTTCATGCAGAGTTACAGAAATTCTCACTAAATAGACCTACTCCAGAGTTGTTTGTAAATGGTTACAGTTATCCTTTAGTTACCAGTCAGAGCAGGGAGTGGAGGTGGAAGTAGTTTGGACCTCTGGAATCGTACTACCACTTCAGTTAGGAAGAAATTTTGAGTACCTCTGTTGGTTTTGGATACAACAGCCCAGCTGGGACAATAAAAACCCATTTTGGACTCTAGTCATTCTATTAATCTATCCAGAAGAATGAAATGCTTCACTGCTTATCAACGCAAGATATGACTGAATGGTGCTTGGGGTTTGAATTACCATATTTAATTAAATGTAAGATACTGAAATGCTTGGGGAAATCCACTAATGAAATTCCAATGATTGCAATGTATAGCCATGTCTATTTTCCTCCCTTTCTTTCCACTGTGAGATCTTTAATGCAACTTTAAAGGGCATTCTTCAGAAAATATATTTTACTGTTATAGATATGTTTGTTTTAGCCTTAGAAATATTTTGTCTTCCCTATTTTATTTTTTCCTGTGTTGTCAGCATTTTAAAAATGTATTTTTGCAATTAAACACCAGTGTCACAGAGCTTGGATTTCATCATTACCACTGGTTACCTGACATGAGAATTAAATCTCCAACATTGTCTATAAATATTGTTCTAACATTTTATACAGTTCCATCCATCTGGGACATTACCATTCATGATGGGAAATGTCATCTTCTTCCTTTGAGTTTCATGCTAGTCCTGTTTCGGGTGACCAGATAGCAAGTGTGGAAAATCAGGACACTTTTTTTTTCAGGCGTATATAAGACAAAGCCCCTTATACTGGGATGTATGGTCACCCTAGGCCTGCTATAAGGGACTAGTTAACGTTGCCTATGTTGCAAAACAAAAATAGCAAGATCACTGCAAATAAATGCTTGATTGTGATGACTCATATGTTGGGGCACTTTTAAATAACCTGCTTTTCCTTGATAAATTTGAGCCTTAATACCCTCTCTTGGGGTGCCTTTGTGTATGAGCCTGTCTTTGGTGCTTCCTATTAGGACTCCTCCTTTTTTCCTGGTTTTTCCCTTCGAATCATAAAATCATAGAACTATAGGGTTAGAAGGGACTGCAAGTGTCATCAAGTCGAACCCCCTGCCAAGAAGCAGGATTTGTTGTGTCTAAACCATCCAAGACAGATGGCTATCCAGCCTCCTTTTGAAAACCTCCAATGAAGGAGCTTCCATTACTTCCCTGCATAGTTTGTTCCATTGTCCTACTGTTCTTATACTTAGGAAGTTTTTCCTGAGATTTAATCTAAATCTTCCATGCTGTAGTTTGAACCCATTGCCTCTTTTCCTGCCTTCTGTGGCAAGAGAGAATAATTTTTCTCCATCTCCTTATGGCAGCTTTTCAAATATTTCAAGACTGCTAACATGTCCCCTGCTTAATCGCCTCTTTTCCAAATTAAACATAACCTTTGCTCATATGGCTTGCATTCCATCCCTTTGATCATCCTTGTCACTCACTTCTGGATCCTTTCCAGTTTCTCTATATCCTTTTTAGACATTGTTTACCAAAACTGGACACAGTACTTTAGCTGAGGCCGAACCAGCGCTGAGTAGAGCGGTACTATCACCTCCCATGACTTGTATGCTATGTCTCTGTTAATGCAACCCAAGACTGCATTTGCTTTTTTGCAGCAGCATTGTATTGTTGACTCATGTTGAGGTTGTGATCCACCACAACTCCCAGATCCTTCTCAGCAGTGATCCCCCATTCTATATTAGAGAAGAAAATAGTATCTTTGTCTTTGTTGAATTTCACTTTCTTTTCTATAGCCCAGTTCTCCAATTTATCAAGATTCCTTTGAATTTTAGCTCTATCCTCTTAAGTGTTTGTAACCTCCCCCGCCACAGCTTTGTGTCGTCAGCAAATTTGATCAGTGTGCTCTCTATTCCTACATACAGGTCATTAATAAAAATGTTAAATAACACCAGACTCAGAACAGATCACTGTGGAATCCCCTTGAGACCTCCTTCCAATCTGACAGCATTCCATTAAATCGTTACTCTTTGTTTGTAGTTGCCCTTTCTTTAGCATATCCTACTCCTACTGTACATGTAAGGCTGTATCAGAATTTGGCTTTGCAAATATTTAGTTGGATTTTTGGATGAAATGCTTCTATTTAGCTATAGCAAGTCAGTTTTTCAATACCTATTTGAAGCCAAAAAGTAGCTGAAGCTGACGGAAGTCTAGGATTACACATTGCAAAATGCCTTGTAAGACATGTTGCAACAATGTATTTTTGGAATGAGCAGCAGGCCTAGATTTCAGCACACTGCAGAAGCGTTGTAACAGCCAGATTAGAGAGCCATGAACTCCACCAATTTACACTGGACAGTAGGAACGCTATCAAGATGGAGAAAACAAGCAAGGTGATTGTCCGGGGCAAGCCTGAGGCAAGGCCCCAAATGATGTCTGGCGTCTCTGGGAGTTCAGCTCTGGGAAAGCAGGGCCCCGATGCCCCTTTTTCTCCTGAGAGTTCAACTAAGGGGATGAAGGGAGTATGGAGGGTACTCAGAGCCAGTAAAGAAATGAATATAGGGGAGTGGGGGAGAGGAACTATTAAAAATGAAAAACGTGGGGACAGGAAAGAAAATATAAAGGGGGAGAGAGAGACTCATAGAAAGAATGATATAGAAGGCAAATAGTTGTATATAAAACGTATGCATGAGAGTGGAAAATAAAAGGGGGCAAGGGGAGAGAGAATGGCATAAAGAAAGAATTAAGACCCAACACCTTTACAACTAGTAAAATATAACGAGCCAAGTCCTTAGCTGTCGGAAATTGGCTCTATTGATTTTAACAGAGCTATACCAGTTGACAATCTGGACCTCTGAGTTTATGGTCCTATATAGTGTTTGGCGTCAGACAAATACCATTTCCAAGGGGGTCCTATATTCAGCCAGATATTGAAGCTAGACATCCACTACATCCCTAAAGGAAACATCTCAAATTCCATCTATATAAAATCAATCTGCTTTGGAAACACTGGGCCAAATTCTGAGGCGCGTCCAAGACTAGAAGGGGTCTAGGTTATGCATCTTTTTCTTGCTTCTGGGCCCACTGATATGTTATGGCTCTGGGTGGAATTCAAGATGTTGTTTCAGTCTATAAAGCCCTGAATGGTTTGGGACCTAGTTACCTCAGAAATCACCCCTCTTCCACAGTATATTGCCACCGCTGATCTAACCAGAAGTTCTCGAGCGGGAGCTTCCTCAATGTAAATGAAAGAGGGCGCCATGCAGGGTGTTTTCAGTGCTTTGAGACTTGCTCTCCCAACCCCCTGCGTCTGCCAAAACCCAGATGTGGTAGCCTTCTGGGCACACTACAAAGCCCATCTTTTACCTCTCTTCTCTAAGGCTGTTGTAAAGGGAGTGGGTTGAGGTGGATACATTTATGGGAAATCATTTGCTGATTTTGTGGTTTTAACCATTGAGGTAGATGTCCAGAGCACAGACTGGGTGCTTATCATTATATTTTTGACATGTAAAATAAATAAAATCAGTCCATTTATACTCACTAACAGCCACTTAGCAATGGGTGACATTTTGAAAATAGAGATCAAATAATGAAAAAAAGCACAAGAACGTGAAACTGAAGGAGGGAGAGAAATATCAAATCATGACCCATTCTGAAAGTGAAAATGTATTTCAATTTGGCAGAAACATCCCTTATCCTGCGTCCTAATACTTCAATATTCCTTATATTTAAAAACATCAAGATAATGGTGTGTGTTACTTTGACTCTCTGCCAGGTTGCTGCCGAGCTGGCTGCTAAAGAAGAAGAAGCAGCTGTAAAGAAAAAAACCAAAGAAAAGGGGAAAAAAGAAAAAGAGAAAAAGAAGAAGAAGAAGAAGAAAGGGAAAGGGAAAGAGAAAAAAGGAAAGACGGATACTGTAAGGCGTTTTAAAATGTGAATTTGTTTAGTAGTTTGTTAGAGCGGCGAAAGCTTCAGGCCTGTGCAATCCATGTGGCATCGCTGGCCTCCATTCATTCAGGGTTTCTGCATGTAGACAAACTGACTTGCCATCTTTGCTTCAGCCCCACTTACAGGAGGGTTGGAAGAGGATGAGGTCCTCATGCATCTTACTTCATCTAAGTTTGATGGCCATGGAGACTTTATTTAGGCTTCCAAAACCAGAGGCTTGGGGTGGGTGTTTGTGAAGCTGCCTGTATCTGTGGCAATAGCTGGAGGAAGTCTGCCTGTGGAATGTTGATGTGGGAGGATTGACTCTGGGGGTATGGATGGGAAAGAACATGCTTAGAGAGTGTTACACTGTTTTAGAAGTATGGTGTGTTCTCCACCAAGCACAGGCCTCTTTGGGTATGTCTACACTGCTGTTCCAAACCTGTGGCTGGCCCATGTTAACTGACTCAGGCTTGCAGGGCTCGGGCTAAGGGACTGTTTAACTGTGGTATAGACAATGCTTAATTTGTGCCAGGGCTTGCCAGGACTGAGTCTCAGGACCTCTAGGCTGGGCGGTTCATAGCCCCGGCACCGCTGGGCTTGCTGCATCAGTTATGAATGTAAAAATATTGGTGAGCCCCAGCACCTCTTTCGTTACAAATTAAGCCCTGGGTATAGACATTCAGGCTTGGGCCAGAGCCCGGGCTCTAGGATCTTGTGAGGTGGGAGGGGTCCCAGAGCTCAGGCTCCAGGCCAAGTCCAAACATCTAGGCTGCAAATGAAACAGCCCCTTAACCTGAGTTCCACAAGCCAGAGTCAGCTGGCACGGGCCAGCCATGGGTGTCTAACTGCAGTGCAGACATACCCTTGGTGTGCAGATGACAGAATGCTGGCTATCACCCTGCCCAAGCATTACCTCTTTGGAGCATGGATTACCTGGGCAAAGTTAGCCACCAACACCCTTTCACTCAAGAGGTGGAAAGACCAGCATTCTGCCTGCCCTTATGTATCCAAACACTGTGAAACAGGCAAACTCTCTCCCTGAAGCTAACATTTTGCCAATCCAATCTGCACACTTGCTTATATTTCAGACTAATTTTTTTAAGTACAATTTACTATCTGCAAACCATTTATTTTATAATGTAAACCAATGTTTTGCTATTCTGTAGATAGTGGCCATGTTTTTTCAATTCACTTACTTAAAATGACCCTAAAGTAGGAGCTCTTTTCACCTCAAGTTGTTTGTAGGCCAAATTTATGTTTTTGCTAACAAAACTACTAGAATGCTATCCTCCCTGAAGGCTTTGAAAGGTTGAGATTCTGTTGGTCCAATTGGCTTTTTTCAATAGCAGGTTCATGGAAGAACACACCAGACAAATGATATGCCAACCAGAAGGTTGTGATGGATTTTAGCTGCATTGTCTTAATTCTAAATCATGCTATGCAATCAGAATTTTTGACTTTTGCTGTAACAGCAACTTTTGTTGCTTGTGAACTTTCTAGAGTGAGTTCGTTTTTTGTAGATCCCATTAATCTTTAATCTTTTAGTGATCATTATCACTGAGTGTTAGGAGGAGGGGACTCCTGGGGCCCAGACATTCCCTCACTGTAAACCCTTCTGAAGAGATGTTATACGTTTAGCTCTAACTGTGGGACACTCATATAACATGAAGACTAGGGTTTCTTAGGCAATGTCCATCAAGCTGTCTGAAACAATAGAAACAGCTGGCCACGAGACTAAACTAAGTGAAATAAATAAGTGTCAATCTTTCTAATTTAGAGGTTATCAGATTCTGACCCTGCAATGTGGGAGCATCCATTTACAGTATATTTTAGGTAGCTGTCTTCGTATGCCAAAGATACTAGGTGGATAGCTGAAGAACTTTAAACCCATCCTCTTCTGCTCCAGTCAGAACTACAGAGCTAGCAGGATACCCGCTGAATCCTGTGTTACCAAGTTAGAATACCTCCACTGATTCACACTGGTACAGAGCAGCTCTGCACTGCCCCTCCCCTCAGTGCAGGACACATTGGCCTGGTCCACACTAACCCCCCACTTCGAACTAAGATATGTAACTTCAGCTACATGAATAACGTAGCTGAAGTCGAGTACCTTAGTTCGAACTTACCGCAGGTCCAGACGCGGCAGACAGGCTCCCCCGTCGACTCCGCGTACTCCTCTGGCGGAGCAGGAGTACCGGCGTCGACGGCGAGCACTTCCGGGATCGATTTATCGCGTCTAGACAAGATGCGATAAATCGAACCCAGAAGATCGATTGCTTACCGCCGGACCCAGAGGTAAGTATAGACGTACCCATTGTAGCCCTAAGAGAAGAATCAACTAACAGTCATTGCATATCTCTACCTAAGTGAGGGTTTAAAGAAATTATTAGAATTACACTGGTTAAATGACGGTGTCAAACAGAGCCATGCAATCTAGGATATTAAGCAGTTCTCTTCAGCCTGAGAAGCATTTAGCAATATGTCCTTGTACTGCTAACTGAGGCCTTGCTTCTAATTCCCCCACTCTTCCTAAATGGCCCTCCCAAAACAAAGCCCTAGTATGTCTCTTCCCTGTCCCTCAGCTAGTACACTGGAGAAGGTCCTTCCACACATGCTGCAAAAATGTATCCTAACAGTACTTCAGTTTTTAAGTCACCAAGGAAAAGGTCAGGAGGAAATAGCTTCAGACCCACTGAACATTCTGAACCAAATCTGAGCTTCAAAGATTGCAGTGAAATTCACGCCCCTGACTTAAAAACCTAACTTTCTCGTCTTTCATGAGGTAAGGTGATTGCTTTGTATCCCTTGGTGGATAAACAGTGATACCAAAAATGTGTCCCTGTGCTCTCACAGTGCTGAAGAAACAACAGTACAGAACTATGGGGGCTTTATAATTTTTTGTAGCTCTCCTCTCTTCTCATGCTCCAGCCTCTGTAAAGTAATAATCAAGGCCATTATATCAGGTGTTCTGTGGCTCATTGAGATAGAACAAAGAGAACATTATTCCCTGCTTGTAATACTGAAAAAAAAAATCATCTTGGAATGGTGCAGAAGTATTCTGAAAAGTTCTAACAGAAGGACCTTATTAAAATAAGCATAGGCTAGAAGTCATAGTGACGCAGTCAAACAAGGTCTTGTTCCTAACTTCAGTTTTTTAAGAAAACAAGATTATGATCCCAGAAGGAGATTTAAATATTCCTTAAGTCTGATAGTGATCTTTAGAAATATGCATTTGATATCAAAGTAACTTCATTTTCTTCCCTGTTAAACGTTGATCTGATTTCCCATTGGGCACTAAGAAAGAAATAACAGAAACCTAGCACAGTATAATCTCTCTTCACAAGCCTTTTATTTTTGTGACTTTTCAAGACATATGTTGAACCATTTGGAACTATTTAAAATAGTAATATACTGTGTACTAACCTGCTTGTAAGACATAAATATGGCGGAGGTCTCTCTACAAATTTCATCCAGCCATATGGAGCTTAAAGCAATATTCTGCCATCAAGGAGATCCACAGGCAGAACCTCTTCACTGTGACCAGGAAAAATGTAGCCAAACAGCACAGTGGAAATCAATTCAGATTCTTCACAGCCTTGCTGTGTGGATTTCCCCATGCAGATCAGTCTGTGGAAAGATTCAAACACATGCTTAGTGTTCATCCAGTTGTTACCCCCGTATCTGTGGCTGGATTGAAACTGGTATGATCAGTTCAAGGTGCCCCACCACAGTTCACACAACATTAACTCAGCTATTCTATCATCTGAATGTAGAAAAAATATCAAGAAAAGAATTCCTTTATCTTTCTAACACTGTGTGAAAAACACTTACTGCTAATGTAGAATTTAGGCCCATATTCATTGTAGTTGTTCTCTATATACTGAATTATTTTGAAAAAAATCTATTTAAATATGTTGTGTATTAATATTTGAAATGTATTGGTATAGAAATACTCTTTACTTCAAAGCATAAAATCAGTTAAGTTAGCCAACAAAAAGACTGCTTTGCTTAGTCCTAAGGATAAAAGAAATAATTAATATATGTGCACTATGCTGTTCACTGGCTACATAAATTAATGGGGAGCAATTGAGTTTTCAGGCTTCACAGCAATATTTGTGTCATTAACAAAATATAAATGTATGTCTGTTATAAATGCAACTTCTAGTCATCTAAATGTCATGTTGTGTAAAAAGTTCGATTTAAAAAAATTAAAAGCAATGCAACAGGGCTGGCCTGATAGTCTAAATGCAGTACATCGCATACTGCAGGAGATCCAGATACGGGTCCCAGAAATCTCAGGCCCTGCAGAAGGTGGGAGTGCAGAAGAAGCAGCAGAGAATTTGAGTTCCACCCTTGAATCCTCTTGCTTGCATTATTCTTCAGCCTACCCCTCCAGCCAATCCTCACCACCTCCTTGTCAAGTCATGCACTCTACTCATTAAAATTCCTTCATGCCTCCTTTCTTCTTTTGCCCCAAAATCACCTCCATGCCATCTCCCAGGTTGTTCCCTGTACCTGCAATATCCTTTATGATCCTTCACAGCACACTTCTCTTCTCAAAACCCATTGTTTTCCTCAAACAATAATCCTCTAATTGCCTAAACACAATCCTTATTTCATGACACCAAAGTGCTTAGCACATTGTGGCTACAAGGTGAAGAAGAAGAATGATTGGAAGGTAAATAGATTGCCATGCTCAAAGGTCCCATCTACATTACAAAAGCAAGTGAGTTTAACAACTTTTAAATTAATGTGACCCAACTGGTTTTGAACATAAACTGCCCCAATCTCTGTGGATGAAGTCCAACCATATGATCAGCTAGAAAAATATGATTTAGTTCAGGGGTCTCATCCAACAATTTTCACCAAATAACTTTTTGATAATCACTTGTGAATTAAAACTACAGTTGATCCCATTTTTCATTATACCGTGACCCTGTCTTTTTAATGGCTGCCTATTTGGTGATTAATACAATGATATTCTATATTTTCTTCACACAGGAAGAAGAGGAGGGCTGGAAAATGGCTCCTAGTAATTTCCTCCCTATAATGGAGGAAGGAAACAACCAATACAAAGGTCAGTAGAGGGAGATAATAATCATAGTTGGAGCATTCTTCTAATTAAACTTAGATTGGATGCCATCCATGTAACATCAAACTAAAGTATGGAACATTACAGAAGTGCAAGCTTTAGACAAAGTAAAATTTGGAAGGAGATTCCTCCTGCACCCGTAATTGATTTTTGACCTTTCTGGTAATATTAGGACATCATAAAGCAAGGACCAGATTCCAATACTCTTCCTCAGGCCTTTGGCTCCAGTCAGACAGCTGACAGTATGCAGTCAAAGCAGTTGCTCTCACAATAGGTGCAATATCAGCAGGGCCGGCTCTAGCTTTTTTGCTGCCCCAAGCAGCAAAAAAAAG